ATGCGCGTTGTGTGCTACTAATATCATCTGCACGCGTGCCGATTTATCCGCACTATGTGCGTTCACTGGACCACTCAGATGCGTCATCATATGCGATCCATAACTGTCGCATATTGTGATGGGCACATGCGTGACGGTATAATGCGAATAAATTATATTTATACTTCAGCCTTATTTGAATTAAATAAAAAGAAAAGATTATTGACATTAGTAATTTTTTTTAAATTAAAATGTTATTTATAAAAACGATTTTAATTTAATATTTCAGTACAATTTTGGAATTGAAATTGTTAAAAACTTCCAAATTCTTTTTTTGAGGTTATATCTAATACAACAAAAATATATATGTACTTTAAACAAATTAAATTTAACTTTCTTATTTTGCTGCAGTACTAAAAATTAAATCCACAATAATTCCTCACAATAATATCGCAATAAAAAACAATAAAAAATGAAATCACAATAAAAACTTATTTTGATAACACACCACAAACAATGCTGTCGCCATTATAAAATGTGTGATTGCCGATACGGGTGGTTGCGCATCATTAATTGCGTGCGTATTAAGTGCAGTTCACTGCACACGCATTCACAGCATTCGCACTGTGGATGGTAAAATGCGTATGGATTGACTCTTCTAGCAAGTCGCACTTGTGAACGGAACATGCTTATCATTTTGTATCACAGGCGCTTACGAAATGCAGTTCACAACACTCGCATTATTACCAGCGTCACAGACGATAGTAAGATGCGTATATGAACCGACTCATCTGGTAAGTCGCAGTTAGTGCAAGAAACATGCGTTTAAATGCGACGCACGATTGTTATCTGGGATATGTTGGTAACGTGGATGGCCGATAATAAAAGTAAAAAGTGGTCGAAGGGTTACGTTTTGTTCAGAGTAAAAAGAATCGTGCCCTTCATGCTAGAACTAAAACAAGTCCATAGGAAGTAATGTTCGACTGTCAACAAAAATGCTCTTACCAAAACTAGGTGTCGCTTATTTTTTCGTCCATTGGCCGTTTTCGTCTTTTCAGCCTAACATGTGAGGAGCAAATATGCAAAAGCTGATAAATCCATTTTTAGAAAAATTGAGATAAACATAAATTTAATATTTTAAAGACCTCACAAATCGACCTGTCACTATTAAATTTTTAAAAAAAATTTTATTAACAACCAATTTTTAATTTAAAAACTTTTCGACATAACCAAGATGACTTATAATTTTTATGTTTTTTATTAGAAAAAATTACCAAAACCTTTAAATCACTTAATTATGATAATGTTTATTTAAAAACAACGTCTTAAATATAAAAACATTGTTATAAAAATAAATTAATACAAATTTTTTAATTTAAAATTAACTATTATAGTGGTTATGTGAGAAAAGTCATTTGTTTAATTTTCTCGAAATAAGAAAATATGGATTTATCAAGATTTGAAAACTTGCTCCTCATATATTTTTAAAGCTTTTAAACATTTAATAGAAGTAAACATTAACTCAATTTACTGTAATCAACGCCAGAAAACGTGTATCTGCACATGTCCGAAGTTATAATACCCTACAAAATTACATTTTCTTAAATAAAAATCATTTACGAAATTATTTTTGAATTTAGGTTATTGAAATTAGTGTCAATTTTATGTCAATAAATAGTAGATTAAATTTCAAAAAAGAAATTGCTTTTACCTTATACATATATGATCGTTTATATATTAAGTTTTTTTCACAAAGTTCAATAACTTCCAACTGAATTAATTTTTTTCTTCGATTATTTTTATTTCTCAACTGTCATATATGTTCCCTGAATGTTAGGTAAAGCAACAGAAATGCTAAATTCTTATGAAAACAATTAGGTACAATGGAAATTACAAATATTTACAGAAATGTTCACATGTCCAAAGTTACCCTATATTCGACGGTACTTCCCTACTAATTCTTTACGGAGTTTAATTTTTACTGCACATAAACATAAATAAACATGTTCAAGAACAAGTTTTGAGGAATTAGACCACTTGAAACTTTAATAATATAATTTTTTACTTAATTTCAAAGTATGAAGCCTTATTAGGAATAATTTACAACAATCCCGATGACAATATTCAAATAATTATGTACAATAGTTATGACTATTTAATTGAGAGAAGTCGAGAGCCGCTTAACCGCCTAGCGAGTCCGCAACGCCCATCAACCTTTTCAAATTATTATATTATATTATTATATCTTATATGGTAAATAAAACGAATTCATTTGGACCAAATGTTATTGTATTTTTTCTCCAACATTTCGAAACCTTAACGATTTCTTTAGGTAGTCGAAATAAATCAGTGATATAGTTTACATAATCTTTTTCAAATCGTCATAAAAATAAAATTTGTCAATTTTTACGTAAAACCCATAAACGTTGAAAAACAATAGGAGTTGGAGTCAATAACTAATTCAAATTGAAGAACGCAAGAGGCCACAAAGGAGGCTCGAAAATTGAAAAGAGATCAACAAAAAGAAGGCCAAGACTTTTTTCACTTTAGGAGAAGATTACTATGGCCTAGGAATAGCTGAATAAGAAGTATGTTGAAAAGTTTCTAAGTTATGCAGCTATAAAGTGCTTTCTTAACATCTTTTGCGTTTTTCTCGAAACTATATTTCTCAAAATTTACCTCAAAAAATGTACACGTCATATTCTAAACTGCACAAGGTGACGTGCGCCTCACGGGCGCACAATATAAAAATCGTCTCCAATATTTTTAAATTTTTTAAAAATGTAATATTATATATTTTTAAAGATGAATATTATGTAATTTAATTTAATAAAAACCAAAAAGTTCCATCCTTAATAGTTTTACAAAAATAATATTTCTTCTGCCAGCTTAAAATTCCCGTACGCAGGATCCTCAACGGAGCTCTAACTGATCCGCTGGGGATCCTTGACTTGTCCTGTATGACCTATCTGACCTTAACATCAGATTTTTCACAAAAATTTTACCTCGTAGAGACCTACATGGAATCCTGTACAGGAAAGCTTTTATTGACATTTTTGAAGGAACCTATGTAGGATCCCATGTAGGAACCATTGTATTTTGCTTATTATAATATTTTCTTATCCTTTTGTGAATCTTATATAGATTCCTTCACAGCCCCCACATCACCGAAACTTTCCTAAAAATTTATTAAATATTTACTTGCAATGTTCGGAATATGTAATTACAATGTTTATTGAAAGTTATGTAAAGATTTAAATGTCCCGATTAACCCTTTGAGGGGCGGTGGGACGTATACGTCCCACCTTTAAAAACCTCAATATCTTTGACAAAAATTAATATTTTTCAGTCAAATTTAGTGCGTTCTCTTCAGGAAGAATAGGGCTTTAAAAATATGTAACCTAGATCATGTTAAAAAAATTCTTATAGTTTAAAAAAATTCATAAATTATTGTTAAAAATCACGAATTTTTTAAACATTTTAAAATCGACTAAAAATTGTTACTCGGAGATTTTTGGGGTCGCTGATTACGAATCTGATGTTAGTTTTTAAAAATTCAAAATGGCGGATCCAATATGTCGAAAGATTTTTTTTTAATTAATCGGATTCGCTTGAAAATGTTTACTCGGGGGCTTTTGGGGTCGCTGATTACGATTCTGATGTTAGTTTTTAAACATGCAAAATGGCGGATCCAATATGGCGGAAGATTTTTTTTAAATTGTCTAGTTTTACCTGAAACTTGTCACTCGGGGGATTTTGGGATCACTGATGACGAATCTGATGTATTAATTTTTAAAAATTCAAAATGGCGGATCCAATATGTCAGATGACAAATGTAAAAATTTATTTGATTGTCACGAAACTTGTTACTCGAAGGTTGTTATAGTCCCTGATTACCAATGTTTAGTTTATTTTAAAATTTAGATTGTGGGTTAATAATTAGCGGAGAAATTTATAAATCAGTGACTTCGAAAATTCCCAAATAACCATTTTTAAGTAAATCCAATTAATTTAAAACAAAATTGACCGCCATGTTAGATTTACCATTTTGAATTTTTAAAAACTATCATCAGATTCGTAATCAGCGACCCCAAAAACCACCGAGTAAACATTTTCTAGCAAATCCGATTAATTAAATAAAAATGTCCGCCATATTGGATCCGCCATTTTGAATTTTTAAAAACTAACTTCAAATTCGGAATCAGCGACCCCAAAAATATTAAGACATGAGTTGTAAAGAAAATCTGTCCATATGAATAATGTCCCCCTCAAAGGGTTAAATAAATCCGAAAGTTTCGGTGCTGTTGGGGAGGATGGCAATAAAAAAAGCCGAATGCCTTTTTTTTATTATGCGGTTAGGCTGGTCTAACCCCTTAATTCTACATGTAAAAAATATTTTTTTTAATTTTGTTCAAAATCATATTAATTTGTTTATAAAATTTTTTTATTTTTTTAATAAAAAATGAAAAAAAAATTTTTTTGTTATGATTATTCAAATGTAGAGAGAAAAACAAAACTTTTTTTCTCTTGTCAAAAAATGAAAAGAAGCAATATTTTTTGAGTTATCTGACATTAAAAATATACCTACATTTAAAAAACGAAAATTTTGAAAATTCATAACTCAAAAATTTGACCTCAAAAAAAAAGATAAAAAAATACGTATCTGTTTTTTTCAATACAGAATAGAAAAAAAATATTTTTTGCCGATTTTAAGAGGTCGACTGAAATCTCACGTGGAATTGCCCACCTATTTATTTTCTTGTAAAAGGTCATACATTAGAACTTGTTCAAATTTTTTATGCTGAAAGGGTACAATTTTTTTGTTCATAGAAACTAAAATGTAATATATATTCTAAAACATTACTGAATAAAAATTCCACTTTTTAAAAATTACAACTACATGAAGAATTACCGAAATGCGCCTATTTTTAGATGATTCTTTGGTAGATGTACTCTCTGTGGCCAGAGTGATATAAGACGAATACATTTTCAAAACAAATAATTTTTAAAAGTTTACTTACTGAATTAGCTGTGTTAATGTCTAGATCAGTGTCAAGATATTCAATCACTTTTTCAAGATTTCCTGAGCGAGCAGCGCGAAGAAATGCAGTGGTATTATCAGTCTGAAAAATAATACAACTTGGATAAATAAAAATGAATAAAAGTACATTTTTATTTATTTCCCGGAAAGTTATGCAGATCATTTTGATACTCACAGCGCACTCAGAGGTAAGTATATACTACCACCACAAAAAAATTAACCCAAATAAAAGTAGAGTTTTTTCAAAAATCGAAAATAAAATTTTTTTTATTCAATATCAACAAAGTATCGAATAAATTTTCTTTCAAAATTTTTTAGTGGAAAAAGTGTTTTTTATAGACAATTTAAAAAAAAATTATCTCAATTTTCACCAATAAAAAGTTTTGCGGTTTCATAGAAAAAATGCTAAAAAATTGAAAAGTTGTATATCTTCTATGTTTATGAATATGTTTCCAAAAAAGTTTAGTTGCTTTCAAGAGAACAATAAAGCACAGTTTCATCAAAATCCCATACTAGAAGGAAATTCACATGATCACTTACCATGGAATTGCTCAATGGAGTATATTCATTATTTGAAAATAAACAATAATTTTATACCTATTGTCAACTTATTATTTGTTTTTTGTTTGTTACTAATATTCTTCTTATAAGCATTGATTAAGTGGTTACACGCCCGCATAACTTCAAGGGGTAGTTTCAAAGCTTTAAAGTGGATCATGGCCGTTAAGAAAAATTATTTTTCAATTTTTTTTGTAAGTTCTATAAGAAGTATCAAGTTAAAAGACAATTCTGTTTCTAAACCTACACAGGAAAAGAGTTGTTGAAACTTTCATAAACTATTCACGTTTTTAGACGGGACCCATTTTTGGTTGAATTTTACTTAATATTTTTAATAACTGAGAATCGTTGTTAAAACATTAGGAACGAGTTATAGAGTCTGTAAAATTCAATACGATTCAGTGCGAGAACGTTGGTTTCTGATTTAATTTCGAACTGTTTACAAATTCGTCTTTAAAAGGTATATAAAATTTTTATTATAAGTCATTTAAGCTTTAGAAGATTTCCAACTGCATTTTTTAAACGTCCGTTGAATTCACGAAAGACTGTACGAGTGCAATAAACTTTAGAAAAACTTCATGAAAGTTTATGACTGCTGTTCTCATTTTTCGAAATCCGCAATGCGTTCAAGTCTTCTGCGCATATCTCAAAATTTCTTCCCAATTGTTTCTGCTTGCAGTGTAATTTAAAATTTTTAAAATAAATGTAATTTAAAAATTTTTATTACATAGGTATTGTTAAAAAACAAAGTCGAAACTAATTTTGTTTTTTCTTTTTTTAGTCTATTTTTAAATCAATAATAATTTTAAAAAAGTTTCGAAAACTGCATTCTAGTTTTTCGAGAGTTGATATACGCAATAATCGAATATATCTGCTTTGGCTTCTGCTAAAGCTTATATGATCCTGCTAGTATTATTTAACTTTTAAAAATTAGTGATTTATGCTAAAAACACCTTTTTTGAGCATAAGTCACTAATTTTCAAAAGTTAAAACAATCTAGACTCATTTTCCCATCTACACTGAAAAAAAGTTCTGGTTAGGGTATATTTAACACAATCTTCTAGTTAAAACAACCAGAATTTTGGTTAAATTAACTAGAATTCTGGTTAACCTAACCAGAAAAAATCTAGTTAGGGCATATTTAACACGAAATTCTAGTTAAAAACAGGTTTTCTGATAATTCCAACCAGAACTTTTTTTTCAGTGTACAAATTCTTATATAGAGTAAACTAAGGATTTAAAGATCTTTGATGTTCCAGTGAGCGAAAATCACGCCCGCCGTGATTCTTTAATGTTATTTTCAAAAAACTTCATAGACCAAAATATCCAGAAAATTAAAAAAAAAAAATTTTAACATTATATTGTGAAAATATACCTACATTTTTTAAAAATTGTAGAAAAAAATTGAAATTTACATAAGTGTGATCATTCAAGTCTCATCTTTAGTTTAAGACTAAAAGAGTTTAAAATGCTCGGCCGTTTATAATGATATCTCGCTAACCGATTAAGATTTTTGAACTCTTTTGGTCTTAAATTAAAGATGAGACTTGAATGATCACATCTATATAAGTTTTAAATTTTTTTTATAATTTTTAAAAAATGTGCAGGGGTTGAAAAAATTTCAAAAAAATTTTTATTATTTAAATTGTTTTGTCACATTTGTCGATCGCTGCAATCTTTGTATAAATTATTAAAATTTTCAGTTACGTATCATTAATCGTAGAATTTAATGATCTTTCGAATGGAATATTTGTTAATTTTCTGACATTTGTATTTACAAAGAAATCGTGATTTGAAGATTGGTATGTTTTTGGGCCTTGCGCGTGCAGCCGTACCGATAATTCCCGACGGATCACAGAAGGACACATAACCAATAGATTTTTTAAATAAATCGTATCTCAAAAAAGTCAAATTTATTCTTTACTTTTATTTTTTTCGGTCATAAAATTTTTTGAAAAAACATATTCAAATTAATATTAACAAAAAGTACCATATTTAAAACTTGAAGAGAAAATAAATATTAAAAAAAGCACAGCAAAACCTAAAAAATTTGATCCCCTCCCCCTCAGAAAATATTTATCTAAACGGATGAATACATTTTCACCAAGAATTATTACCATGCATCTACTTTACTAGAACTTCTACTAGTTCCCCAGTTTTTTAGAAAAAAACCTTTTTTTTACCTTGATCACTTCACATGGATTCACTCATGTGATTTTTTTATTTTTATTATTTGGGGCATTTTCCGTGAAATGTTCACTGAAATTTTTTTTTTAATTATTAAAACAATTTTTTTTATTTCTATATATGAAAAATAAGTAAATACCTGTTTTTTATATTTTTATTTGATCAAAATTACGGAAGTTATGATTTTTTTAAATTTAATGTCTTCAGAAGCAGAAATTAGTTTTTTCTTGAATATTTCAAATATGTAGTAAAAATAAACGTCATAATAAAGCGAAAACATTAAATAAATTGAAATTTCTTCTAAAAAGTGACTTTTCTCAAAACCAAAGTAATCGATTTTTTTCTTGTATGACAATCACTAATAAATAAAGAACTTTTAAAATTATTATTATTAATTTAAAATTATGTCAGTCGTTGCACAGAGTTTCATTCGACTTTTACACTTACTTGTTAAAACTTTAACCTTCAATTACAAACAAGACAAATGCCTTACTAATGAAATGAAGTTCTGAAGTGCTTTAATTTCTCAATTTCCAGCTCTAAACTTTGTGCAACGACTAACATAATTTTAAATATCATTTGAACCCTAAAGAACACCACTTTGGCATAAGTGGAAAAAATTTCTTATTAAATTTAATTATTATTTAATTAAATATTAGTTAATTAAATATTTTTAAATTAAGTAAATTTAATATTATTGTTAATTAAGTAATTATTAAAGTTATGGTTTCTTTAAATTTAACTTCTTCAGGAGCAGAGGACTTTTGAAACCTTTATTTTATCTGTTACACCAAAAGATCTCTGTTATATAATAAAATAATATAATATATATGAGAATTATTACTTCCTCATAGAGGAAGTATTGTAATACCAAAATTTTTCGAGTTCGATTTTTTGACATATCTTTATGTTATTTGACCTCAGGAGTTCAAAAATTACATTTTTAAAAAATTTCATTCCGTATGTGTGTGTGTGTGTGTGTGTGTGTGTGTAAACATCACATTTTCATAAATATCTCGAAATCATGAAGAGCTTTTGGGTTGAATTTTTTTTTAAATTGTAGATCTCACCTGCGGACATAAGAAGAGAGTACTTTCTGATATCCCTATTGAAAATCCCCATATGGGAAACCACATGGGAAACCACATGGGATCCTATGTCAAAAACCATGTAAAACCCTACTTCCATGAAGGAAACCACGTGGTTTACCATGTGGTTTCCCATGTCAAACCATATGGGAAATTGAGACAGGATTTTAGTTAGGAATAGACATGGGGAATTTGAACAGTTCATCTATGCATAAAACCATATCAAATCCCACATGTTTTTCCCAGTCAAATCCTAAACCGAATCCCATGTGAAAAACAGTATCATTTATTTATAATTATTTTTCCAAGTCAATCCCCAAGTGAAAAACAGTATCATTTATTTATAATGATTTTCCCATGTCAAATCCTAAACCAAATTCCATGTGAAAAACATTATCCGACTTATTGAATATCCCTACATGGGAATCCACTTGGAATTTTACAAGGGATTTCACATAGGATTTTATATGGGAATTGACATAGGATTTCATGCAAGATTTCACCTAGGATTTAATATGAGATATCACATAGTATTTTATTAAAGATCCAATGAAGAAATTTTCAAAGGATTAAAAATTATTTAATAAAAAATTAAATAATATATATCTAGTATTAGTGTTACAAGTCATCAAAAAAGTAAAAAAACGATCATTTGAAACACGTCCTCTCTGCTACAGGTTCTCAGCTTTTATATACTTCCAAAATCGTCTCAACAGCGAGAGAAGTCACTTTCGCCACCTAGCGGTGAAAGTATAGGAGCGACAGTAATCTTTAACATTACTAAGGAAACCATGTGGAATACCACGTAGGATTCCATGTGGTTTCCTACGTGGGGATTTACATGGGATTTTACTTAGGAATTCATTTGGGAATTTATTTCTACTTAAATTTCTAAGTAAAATCCCATGTAAATCCCCACGTAGGAAACCACATGGAATCCTACGTGGTATTCCACATGGTTTCCTTAGTAATGTTAAAGATTACTGTCGCTCCTATACTTTCACCGCTAGGTGGCGAAAGTGACTTCTCTCGCTGTTGAGACGATTCTGGAAGTATATAAAAGCTGAGAACCTGTAGCAGAGAAGACGTGTTTCAAATTATCGTTTTTTTACTTTTTTGATGACTTGTAACACTAAAACTATTTATTATTTAATTTTTTATTAAATAATTTTTAATCCTTTGAAAATTTCTTCATTGGATCTTTAATAAAATACTATGTGATATCTCATTAAATCCTAGGTGAAATCTT